CACTGGTCCCATCACCTCCTGGTAAATAGAAGGGGAAGATATGGAGGTAGTGACAGAGTTTACTTTCTTGGGCTCCATGATCACTGCAGATGGTGACAGCAGCCATGAAGTTAAAAGACACCTGCTTCTTGGGAGGAAAGCAATGACGAACCTAGACAACATCTTAAAAAGCAGAAACATCACCTTGCCGATGAAGGTCCGCATAGTCAAAGTTATAGTTTTTCCAGTAGCGATGTCTGGAAGTGAGAGCTGGACCATAAAGAAGGCTGACCGCCGAAGAATTAATGCTTTTGAATTGTGGTGCTGGAGGAGGCTCTTGAGAGTCCCCTGGATCGCAAGGAGAACAAACCTATCCGTTTTGAAGGAAATCAACCCTGAGTGCTCACTGGAAGGACAGATCCTGAAGCTGAGGCTCCAATACTTTGGCCATGTCATGAGAAGAGAAGACTCCCTGGAAAAGACCCTGATGTTGGGAAAGTGTGAAGGCAAGAGGAGAAGGGGACAACAGAGGACGAGATGGCTTGATAGTGTCATTGAAGCTACCAACATGAATTTGACGCAACTCCGGGAGGCAGTGGAAGACAGGAAGGCCTGGCATGCTCTGGTCTATGGGGTCATGAAGAGTCGGACATAACCTAACAACTAAAGAAAACAACAAATGTGCTGTGCATCACTCATTTCTTCATTTCTATTAATATTAATAACAGATATGTCCACGCCTGAGTTCTGTCAATTTTTCAAGTTTGAACAGAAGGAAGAAATGCAATCCATGGTGAAACAATGCACATAGTTCAGGTTGTGCTCTCAGTGGAGCCTTATGAGTTGTATAAAAATAGTTTGATTGGATATTATCTGCAAAACGTGGAGCTCTCCACTCCCAGCACTGAAGTTGACAGGGACAGGGTTTTAACCTTGCTGAAGGCTGCCCCCTGTTGCATTTATTTGTTGTCTCCCTTTATAGGCTAATGTCTTCACTTCTTACGGGATGGGTGGAATATTATACTTACTGGTCAGATCATGTTTGCCCTCTTCTGATCCTGTAACCTCTCCTCCACTGGTTTAGATGCAATAGAGTCTTCGGATTTTTTCTTTGGTCTTCGAGCCCGTGGTATCCCATGCTTTTTAATATTTACAACTAAGCACAGCTATATTTGAATGAAATAATTTGCTGATACTGTATATTTGCTTTATTGATTTTTGTTTGTGTTTTGAAATCTACAAATATTAAACTTAAATCTTGAAATTGCAGATGTCTTCCAGTGTAATACTGCTTTTTGGAGTCTCAAAACTAGTGAACTGTTCTGTTTGTTTGACAGCTTGCTTTTGGTGGCAGGGGGAACAGTTTTAAAGATCTGTGATTTTGGTACAGCCTGTGATATTCAGACACATATGACCAACAATAAGGGAAGTGCTGCTTGGATGGCACCAGAAGTTTTTGAAGGTAATAAAATGGTTTGAAACTTGAAGCATATTTTTGTTTTATGTTATAAGCATTTTTGTTTGTTCCTTTTTGTAGTAAATTCTGTCATGGCACTTTAAGTTTTCTAGTTCCATGGAAGCATTCAATATTTGGGAGAATCATAAAACAAAGCAGGAAACTTCATTTAAAAAAAAATTAACAAAGCTGGATTTTGGAACATTAGCTTCATAGAATTTATTTCTTTACTATACTAATCTATACTATGAAATAAAAAACAGAAATTATACTACGATAATTACTAATGGTAATAGTTTATTTCTTGACATTAAGGAATAAACTTCTGAATAATTAAAGACTAATAATCTATGAAGGTTAATGAACCCAGTACAAGCTAAAAGAGAGAAATTATCTGTCTGCAATGCATTACATCTCATTCAATCATGATATATCGAAATGACTAGATAGGCGGGGTATAAATACAATAAATAAATAAATAAATAAATAAATAAATAAATAAATGCCTGGGCACAGCTTGTGATGACTCAGCAAGTTCACACTAAAATAAAGTGACGGAATATTTTGCATTTTATTCCTTTTCTTTTCCCATTTTACTTATTGCCAACATGATTAGTATGTTGCACTTTCTAAAATTTTGAGTAGTATCTTTTTTGTGGCACTGAAATTTATGTACATGAGATCATAGATGTTCGAGACAACCATTTGAAGCTTTCTTGTGTGCAGTATAATCCTGGCATGGCCACATTTCAGTCCACACACTTAACAACCTCCTGAAAAGGTTGAGAAACTAATAATCAAAGAAGGCTTTCTTGATTATGTTGTCAGTATGGATATATGTAATATTTAGCTTTGGCATGCTTTGCCTGTCTTCCTCTCACCATCACACAAATGATGCTTTCTAACATACCTAGGATGGTATGGTTTTTATGGAGAAAAGGAATAATTTGTTTCTTGTAGGCAAATAATTTCTCATTTGGAAAACATTCAGCTGTTGAGGTAAGATAATTTAAGAGAAAATATATTTCCTAAGAGTAGGACTTTCAGTGGAGGTAGTTCCATGCATTCTGTTGTAACTATACATGGGACTAATAGTGGCTTCAGTCAGCATATCAACAGACATTTGTAGTAGATAATGGGAGATGTGTTCCAACATTATGGTCAGCTGGAATTTTTCTTACTGGGCAATTCTGGCTTTAAACTTAAATAGTAAAACAAACTGCTAACCTTCTATCTGTGGTACTCTTCCTCAAAAGCCAAAATAAGCCACAGTTTATTGATTTTTTTAATTTTTATTTTATTTTATTTTTTATTTTTTGGCTTAGAGGGGAAGAGACAGACAAGCTAGTATACTGGATTTAGACATCACAGTAACCAAACTGTATTTAACTTTTTTTTTCTGAGCCTCAGCTTCTCCAGGCATGCTGCCTCGTCTCCAGTACATCAGTGTTCTAGAGCAGAGGTCACCAACCTGCGGTCCATGGCCTATCCAGGACCAGGCCATGGACACAAATTTCCTAATCCCCCCGCGAGCACCGTAGCTTGCATGCGTGCAAGCGCATTCCACCCCCTGCAAGTGTGCCATAAAGTCAGTTGAGCCACGTTCATGTACATGAAAAGGGAACCAGTGTAGAGAAGCATCACATACAGTGGTGCTTCACTTAACGGGCGCTACATTTAGTGATGAAACCGCATAGCGACGAAGATTTTGCAATCACAAAAGCGATCACATTGCGATGTTTTAAATGGGGTTTTTTTTCGCTTTACGATGATCGGTTCCCTGTTTCGCTTACCAATCATCACAAAGCGATGATTTTTTAACAGCTGATCAGCAGTTCCAAAATGGCTACCGGGTAAAAAAAATGGCCACCTGCTGTGTTTAGGGACAGATTCCTCGCTTAAGAGGCAGCGAAAATGGCCGCCGTATGGAGGTTTTAAGGCGTTTCTATGGGCTTTTTAAAATCACATAGTGATGAAATCGCTTAGCAGCTATTTTTGCTGCACGGATTAACGTCGCTATGCGAGGCACCACTGTATAGTAGGAGTTAGCAGACCCAGTTTTCCACCCTCACCACTGAATGCCTCCACAGGTGGCTTTTTTTCAGAGCCAACAGTTTTGGAAAAATGCAGATTTTCAACCTCAGAAAGATGAGGGAGGGGAAATTTCCTTAAATGGGGGGGTGTAAAAATACTCTGGAGATTTAAAAGTATGTGTTTTTTGCATGTTTTGTCTACCTCTGTATTGCAGAAGTATATGTAAGCACACTTTGTTCAGTTTTAATGCTAATAATCAGGTGACATTTTTAGTTTTTTAAACCAAAATTCAGAGGCTTTTTTTTAAAGGATGCAAATCATATAAATGGATTTTTTTTCAGGTAGCAATTATAGTGAAAAATGTGATGTATTCAGCTGGGGTATTATTCTTTGGGAAGTGATTACCCGTAGAAAACCTTTTGATGAAATTGGTGGTCCTGCTTTTCGAATCATGTGGGCAGTTCACAATGGTAAGTTGAAATCTTACAGGGGTGACATGTTGAGCTGAAAAACAGTGGCCTGAATTCTCTTGGCTATTTATACTGCATCGGAGCAGTGGCTTTAATCACAGTGTCAAATTGCTGCTAATAAACGAGTTGCCACTTGTATTCCTCATTGCACATCAACCATATCATGTGACTTGATGAGCAAAGGGAATAAATGTGTTGACTCATTACGAGTGGCAATTAACACCATTGCACTTTTTCCCGTATAAATAACCAAGAGGATTCAGACCAGCATTTCCTAAATAGATATTATATATTTGCCAACAATTTGTAGTTTAGTGCAAATACTGTACTTTGAAACCAGATGTGTTAAGAAAATCTTAGGGTTAAATTAGGTGAGCTGGCAGCAATTTTGTTTCTTTAAAAATTAATCGCAAGACCAGATAGGCGGGGTATAAATAAAATAAAATAAATAAATAATCAAAACGTAGATGAGAAGGCAAAGTGCAAGATCTGATAAAAAGGAAAAGAAGCCTACAAGTGAATATGTACCCTGCAACCCTCTTTTCCTACATATTTAGACATGTAAATCTGTCATCGTGTCTCCTTTGGCCATCATTTTACTTACAATAAGTGATGATAATATATCTGTTAGTTTTAGTATTACTACTTGTTTTAGAAAGTTGCCTTGCATGTAATTTTTATTATATTTACTCAGGAATGTTTTTATACAAAAATATTTTGCAATGCAGCAGACATCTTTGTAGCATACTGTATTATCTTGAAGATTATTTGTTTAAAACACTCAAAAACATATTTTAGACTGTGAACACAGTCCGACATGAAAAAGTAATACTTTGCCTAGTGCCTGTTTCCTGGCCCTGTCTAATAGTTATGTTGTTCCCTCTCAGTTGCACACAGTTGCTCACAAGCAGTCGGCTTATTTACTTCCCCTTTCGAATGAAGCCCCACCTACCCTCATGCAGATGGAGAGAGGCTCCCAAACAGCAGGAGAGAAACTTATAGGGAACATTAAGAGTAAAGCCTAAGTAGTATCCCAGAATGCTTGAGTAACTTGCTAGCCTAGGAGCATAGACAGTGTTCCACTGAATGTTTAGAGGATACCTAATATTTACCTGTAATCACTGTGGTTTAGTGGATAGAGTAGGATTCAGAAAACCTGAATTTGATTCTCTGGCTCTGCAATGGAAACTTTTGGGGGATGGAGCTGAAACTACTCTCCTTAAGTACCTCATTTACCTTGAAAACCCTGTTAGGATCACTACAAGTAAGCTATACGTTGGTGGCACATAACAACACTTACTTCATTTAAAATCTTTTTACTGTTTTAATATTACTGTTCCTAACTAAAATATGAGCAGTTCTGAGAACTTTTTCAGCTGTAGACTGGGATAAAAGTGTTGTAAATAAATAAGCTGACTTTGCTGTGTTGAATTCATTTTCTAATTCAATGTGTGCCAATTTTCTGCAACGAAAACTCAATCGAAGGGTAAAGTAATTCCTGTACTTCCTGCTTGTAATCATCACATCTTTCAATATGCAAAAGGGATGGGGGAAACTATAGCTATTTTGTGGAAGAGTAGCAATATTAGTTTATTTTCCTAGGTCATTAGGGATGTTCATTTCAGTACAGTCAAAACAGTAATATTCTGTAACGTGTATCATTCTTGGCAATTTCATTTTATGGGTACATTATGTATTTATATAGAAATAATTTTAATGATCTACTTCTAGGTACTCGGCCGCCATTGATAAAAAATTTGCCTAAACCTATTGAGAGTTTAATGACACGCTGTTGGTCTAAAGACCCCTCCCAGCGACCTTCCATGGAGGAAATTGTGAAAATAATGACACATCTGATGCAGGTATAGCATTCACATTGTAGGCATTGCTATAATATACTGTGCTGAAAAGACTGGCTTGGGGAACATATGGAAGGCAGAAGGCATGGAAGTGGTGGGTGAAGAGAAATGCATATAGGAATCCAAACAGCTACCATGGCAGGCACTTGGGAGACAAAGACAGTAGCACATCTGATAACCAGAAGTTCCACTTATGTGCTATTGCATCAAGGCATCCAGCCGTAAGAAAGCATTGGATAGGTTTATACTCACTTTTGATGGTATTTGTAATAGTATTTTTCAAAAGCGTTCTTTTCTTTCACTTTTAAGCCATGAATACGTTTTTTTTAAATCCAATAGTCTTCATTTTTCTTTACTCTAATCCTATTTTCTTGCCTTCCCCCCCCCCAATTACACAGATTTGTAAACTGCAGTTGGAGGCTTCTGTACTTCACTTTCCCCCACTTGCTGCATCTCCCTGTGAGGAGAAGGGAGATTGTGTGTGTGTGTTTATGCATGCATGTGCATGCACATATGTTTAGGGTAATTATTGATTTAATTCAACAAGCTGCAGAAAAGAAAGTAGTTTTCACTGTCTTACTCTGCCCAGTAGCCATTTCTTGCATTCTCAAATTGTCTCATTTTTTAAAAAACATTGTTTTCATCAAGAAGATCCTTCTCTTTTCTTGCTTGCAGTATTTTCCAGGGGCTGATGAACCTCTACAATATCCTTGTCAATATTCTGATGAAGGCCAAAGCAACTCTGCCACTAGTACTGGTAAGTAAAACATAGGCATTAAGGAGTTGGTCATGATATGGTATTTATGTAGTATTAGAAATGCACAACTTTAGGCCCTACTAGTCATTGGGCTGCATTCAGCAAAATGTCTCCTGTGGATATAAGGGAAGGGATGATCTTTACCGGCTCCCTCCCCACTGCTGTCCTTCCAAAATCTGCTCCTGAGGATTTTGCTATCAGCAAAAAAAAACTGGGACGTTGGAAGGATTTGTGACAGCCCAGCATCACTAAAATTTTCTGTGGTTTTGTCTAAACAAAATGTCTTTAGAAGTGATTTAATATATTGAGTGGTAACATTTGCTCTTGGAATGCTGAAAAATACCTTTTGTCCTAGATAACGTATTGCACTTGCTTCATCACAATACACTTTTTTTCAATATTTCAAAAAACAAGAATTAACAAGATGCAAAAATGGGATGAGTATTTTAAAAGTCTATAAACCAGAACTTGAAAAGTTTTTTTAAGGAGTATAACTAAAATAACATGCTAAAATGATATGTCACTAAATGGTGGTTGAATAGTGCCCTAAAACTGAGGACATCATCCTTCAGCTCAATTACAGATTTCATTGGCATGTAATTTTATTCATTTTATTCTTAAAATAATTGCCAAGCTCTGCTTTACACTCTGAAGTGACTTCTTTGTTAAAACAATGTGTCTAACATTTATAGGCTCATTTATGGATATGACTTCCACAAATACGAGTAACAAGAGTGATGCCAACATGGAACCAAATGATTTTCAAGGAACTACTACCAATGACACGATTAAACGTTTAGAGTCAAAACTGGCCCAGCAGATGAAAAATTCAGGAAAACAGCCGGTAAGAATGTGAAAATCATCTTGTTAGGGAACTCAGGGTAGAGATTCTTCAGAATCAGAAACAATATTGTATACTTTCTAATTTTTACATTGTTTTTTCACGTAAATTTTCAAATGCCCATAGTAAACTGTTGAAAGTTTTTGACAAAAATGTTCAGAATTAATAAGCATTATTATGTACCTTAACAGAAGCATTTAGTTACTATTATTTTCCTCCTGTGAAGCAGCAGTAGTCCTATACTTCTATGTCATATAAAACCCCTTAAATATTAAAAGTCACTATTGAGAATGTATCGTTTCTACACATTTCTGTTTGTTCACTTATTTCAGGAATAAGTTTTTGAATGCTCTTAAAGCAGTGACTTTTCTGCAGGGAGAACCTGGCCGTTTGAGTTTACCTCCGTCTCGTGGTAGCAGTGTGGAGAGCTTGTCGGATGTTCGTGGACGACCACAGTCAACCCTTGTTTCAGGAGAAAGCAAGCGAATGAGTGCTGATATGTCTGAAATTGAAGCCAGAATTGCTGCTACTGCAGGTAAGAATACTATTTGATGGCTAGACAGTATGGCCAAAATGGGATCAAGACAAGAGTAAAGCGTGGAGAAAACTGTATATACTTCCATGAAAATTCCATATTTACTGTTCCTGTTAAGAAAATCTCAGCAATTGGGGTCTTCTGTTTGCATGAATGGAAGGTTATGAATAGCTGAACTTTCTGCAGCCTTGTATATTCTCTCTGTACAGAAAGACTGCTAGAGGCCTAGAAACTGTCCTGAGGTTGCAATGGATAGAAGTAATCCCCTACATTCAAGTGTGGGTGCCTTGTATCAGTGGAGTTTTACTAGCACAGGCTACCCTCAGCCATCTTGGTACAATTTTCCCCACCTAACATTGTCTCCTGCAGTATAGTATCTAATATTCAGGGGGATCCATCCCTATCTGAAGATCTAAAACAGTGGTTCTTAACCTTTGTTACTCGGATGTTTTTGAACTGCAACTCCCAGAAACCCCAGCCAGCACAGTTGGTGGTGAAGGCTTCTGGGAGTTGCAGTCCAAAACTCCTGAGTAACCCAAGGTTAAGAACCAGTGATCTAGAATCCACTTACTTACTTGTCTTTCTGGTAGACCATGATGTGAGTAAAGCTCTGCTTTATTTTATTTTTTTATCATGCCCATTTAGTGACACAGCACTACTCTGGGCAGCTAACCACAGTAGGAAGAAATAAAAAAAACTACCCTCCAAACACACACACCCAATGAATTTTTAAAAAATGAAAAAGAAGTTCCAGAGGCAGTGGCAGAGAAAACTCTTAATTAAAGATGCATGGGGCCATAGGAATATCATGGGGAGAATGTTGCCAAAGGCCTCTTTGAAATGCCCAGCTTTCACCTTCTCTCTGAAGGGAGGGAGCCAGATGAACATTAACAGTCAACGCATTCCATAGCATGGCCACCTCAGAGAAAGCCCAGTGGTAGTTCTCCAGGCCATTCTAGGGGTGGCTACCCAAAACAACGCAGCCCAGATATAAGGGGTTGCCTGGGTAGATGATCTTAAGGAGAGACACTTTCACCTCTACAGTTTGAAATAAATGATCTTTTTTCTGTCAGCTTTTCCCATTCTTAGAAGCCTCGTGGCGCAGTGGTTAAATCACTGTACTGCACCTAAAACTGTGCTCACGACCTGGGGTTCAAATCCCAGGTAGCCAGCTCAAGGTTGACTCAGCCTTCTATTCTTCCGAGGTTGGTAAAATGAGTACCCAGCTCGCTGGGGGGGCAATGTGTAGCCTGCATAATTAAATTGTAAACCGCCCAGAGAGTGCTTGAAGCGCTATGGGGCGGTATATAAGCACCGTGCTTTTTTGCTTTAAATATTTTTTTCCAGCTTTCCCATCTCTTGCATTGTAATCAGGAGTGCCAGGATATGGATGATCTCGACCTTGGCATCCTGTGACATATCTTTAGATTTCAATCTTTTCTGGGCAATTAAAATATAGTATGTTAAGAACAAAAACAGTATAAAACCACATGTTTCTCCCACGAGTAATGAATCATAGGAATAATGGGGATTATTAATTATAGCAATAATTCATTGCTGATATCTTGAAATTTTAAAATTGGCAAATTACATCCCATTGCTTCTGAGTACAGATGGTTGATATTGGAACTTAGTGGGCCTGGTCGGGAAGAACATCCCATAGACTAGCCTGTTGTGCACTAGTGGGAAAAGGTACCTAGATTGGATCAGAACACTCACATTTTCATACTGCACACCCTCTTCCAAAGAAATATGCTGCTTCTATTACTGTTGTTCTGTATTTCTGAAATTAGACATTTATTATTATTACTATTATTATTATTACTATTACTGTTATTATCATTATCATTATTATAACCATCATTAAATTGAGAGAGGACGTGGGTATATTGACATGGAGAGTCAGCAAGAAACACTAACACCTCAAGTATTCCAGCAACATTTGTCCATTAAATCAAAAGCCTTCTTTTTATCTCTCAGAGGAAGATTCAGAATAAAAAGCAGTTGCAGGAATCAAACTTTTAGTATTATCAACTACTACTATTTTATCATTTTGTACATTGTAGGTAATGCCTTTCATAAAATGGGAAATTATTGGTATTTTCATCCTGTTAATGTGACTTGAGTAAAGCAGTCATGTTATTTATAAAGTAGCCTTTCTGATATATATTTATGGTGATCTATTGGTCAAAATCCTATTGGACTAAGCTTTCAGTATGCATATGGGATGAGTGAAAATCTACCTTTGAGATCTTATTTTTTTAATCTAAATGTAATAGTCCTACATTTCATGTCTTCATAGCTGTTGTTAAATAACTGAAATTTTTCTTCCAGTCATCAGTCCCTTTTATGCATATTTTTAAAGTGTGTGTATGTGCAAGGTCCTTCATAAAGGGAAATGCAGCAAATAATACACACAGGAACCGATGCTGGTTTCTCATCTTTTTTTTCTTGAACCAGGTTAACTTCTTGACATCAGTGGAGTGTAGAGAGAGAGAGAGAGAAATGAGAAGTGCTAGATTATTTTTAGGATTTTCATCTGGGTTTCCTTTCCTTGTTCTGGTTTGAGAAAGGCTAATTTGAAAATGTCAAGTACACAAACCAATAGCATAATTCCAACAGAATTTTTAAGATGGATAATCTTACTAATGTTGCTTGTGTAAATGTAGTAGGAAACTTCTTTTTTCATACCACAGTCGAGGGAGTAGTATGGTCAGATTCTGCTACTAAGTAATCCAAAGCTCTTATACCTAAAATACAAGAAATATTTTAAGAACAGCTTTGTTCCTTATATTAGAAAACCAGTGGGAGGATCACATCTTGCTCGTATATTCATATACAAGTAACTGAATAGCTTTTGAAGGAAAGTTGCTAAAGCAGCAGATCTTAAACTACAGAGAATGTTGCCTTGTTCAGTTCCACTTGTCAGTCTCATGCACATCCCTAGAAATAGCTGTCTCTTAGCAGCTTCCATTAGGATTGCGTCAGGCAAAAAGCGGTGGATCCTCAACCAGTACTGATATAATTCTTCCATCTAAAACAGTTCAGTGTACTCTAGGTATCTTCACAATCATGTTCCGCATAAGGAGCTTTTAACTTGAGCCATTTTACTACTGCCATCACCACTTTCATCTTCATGATCTTTAAGTTAACTGATAACATTAATCCCTGTACTTATTTCTAAAACTTTACATTACAGATTTCTTTTCCATTGTTCTCTTTTGTTAATATGTGTAACTGAGCCTAACATTGTGGAAGTAGGCTAAATTTGTCAAAACAATAAAAACAGATTGCAGTTGAATAGCAGAGAAATGCTTGAAAACTGGCTGTGTTAAAATGAATAAACCAAAAGCATTAACATATTTCTGAAATATATATATATTTGAAATTAGTGCATTTAGTGAGTGTTTTGACTGCAGCATAGAGCATTCATTTTAAAGTATGAGTAAAATGGAGTTGGTGGACACTTTAGTCTACATTGTTTGGTTTTATCTAGGCTTTGGTTTTTCCCTCCTTCATCACCATTGCCCTTTGTTCATTTGCAGTTCATGTTTCTAATAACTAATAACACTGTGTTGTGTTATGTTGTTGACTCTAATTATGTCTGTTGCTTTTAACAATTGCTTTACAATTTTAAGCATGAATGGAAAGCTGTGCAGTTCATTCTGCATGTCCAGTTTGCATGAAATCTGGTTTAACCAATTTAAGTAGAAAGTGCAGTTTTCAGTCTGGATGATTTGTGTTACTATTGTAGCTGTTTGCATGTGTATTGTGTATATATGTTTTTTCAGCCTTTTCCAAACCTAAACGAGGCCATCGTAAAACTGCTTCATTTGGCAACATTCTGGATGTCCCAGAGATCATCAAACCAGGTATCGCATACCAGCTATGTGCGTCTGCTGAGACTGATACTGGGAGAATGATCAAATCTTTAAATACTTCTTGCTCCTGTTTATAAATTATTACTCTCTAGCACCAGCTTATCCGAGATGATCGCGCATCCATATCTTTTGCTCTTATCCCAATTTAACCATTGTTTTTGCTAACGTGTAGAAAAGTGAAGGTATTCATGGTTTTGATCTGGAAAAAAAATCCTAGCTCTGGTAGGATACAGATAGTTCTTTTAGCAGGAAGATGAGAACATAAAGCGAGTCTGCAGTTGCAGTCCTTAAATAATGTTTGTATCATTAAAAATTGATGTGATACATAATTTTCATATAGACATGATAATATAAACACTTATACATACATATGGTTTATATCAGCAGAACTGAAATGCTTTACACAAGTAATTTTAACTTATCTCTCGAACATCTGTTAAGAGTTGACGAAAGATTTTTTTTGGATACAAATGAACTGTTTACCAGTGGATGATCTGTTTTAATCGTTCATAATAAAACAAATGATTAATATAGTGGGCTGTACCAAATATAAATGACAAATACAAATAAAACATTGCACATATATTGAGATAACAGTACTGGAAAATACAACATAGCATAAATACACATTAAAGCCGTTCAGATTTCCACAAAATTTGACAAAAAGATTTTCATTATACAAAATTTAACAGGCTTGCTTAGTTTGTTCAGAAGATTAAATTAATTTACTTGCCATTGAATCTTTTCTTTTTATTCTAGAGAAAGGTTTCTCCTGTTTCTTAGCTATAATAGTTAACTTTTCAGCAAACAGTACATTGGGAATAAATTGGAATACAGTGACCTGGATCATAAGAAGTGCTTCCAGAAAAGAGCTGGTGGAAGGGGACTTTCACATCCCTTCCTTTCCTTTTGCAAAAGTATTTCTGGGAGCTTGGCAGATCTTCCTGAACTGGGTGGACTGTGAAACTTAGAGATGAAGGAGGGAAGGGAAAATCACTAAAATTTGGATGCAACCCCACTTAAAGAATTTACCTGTGACACATTTTTCATTGCTTCTCCTCTCGCTCTTCAGCCTCCTGGCATGCAGTACTTATTTGTTCAGAAGCCTTTGCCATCACT